GTTTATAAGTTAATTCATTCTATTGTCATTGTATGCTAATACATCTCTTCAATATTTTTCGCCCACTGTGCACGATGGGTGTTGCTACGCATTCTATTGCAATTTTGTGCTAATTTTGTGGCATTATTAAGTGCTGCAACGTCTGTCACTAATTATGCACAAAAGGTTTGCTGCAACTTTTGATGGGATCACATTTCCCGTGACTTTTGAACTTTTGAGTTTACACTTCATTTGAATAGTTGAAGCATTTACGACTTAATGAAATTTCATTGCAGCTCGCTTTGTTTAGCATTTTGTGTCACACAATACACATACATATATATACATATATGTACTTGAAGGGCACATACATTGTTCAGATGTGGCCAACAGAGTGTCAAGGGTGACCGCATAGCAGCAATGGGAAAATAAATGACAGAGAGACAAAAGTGTTTCAAGATATTCCCGAGTTTTTTAACTACTCTTTAAGGCTAGTCTCATGACAGTATGTTTAATGAGAGCTAATTGTCGAAGCTGGACTGAAAATCTAAGCAGCAGCTTATAACTATGCCAAGTGTCAACGATCTGGCATATTTGTTGAGCAAATGTAAAGAGAAATCAATTTTCTTTGGTGGACAAATTCGGCTCTTCATTTCGATAGCATTTCAGATTTGGTATGAAAGCAATTGGTTGAATCATTTCTACCTTCAATTAAATATGTTCAAGAGATTTCGCCTAACAAAAGACAGCTATATATAAAGATATCATTAAATCAGTTGCTATTTGTGTTGGAGCTGCGAATTGTTTAGCTCGGCTTGCGAAAAGTTGAAAACAAAAATAAGACAAAATAAATTTTATTTTTGGCTTCTATTTTACTTTCGCTGCAGTTTTCGGGCACTAGGCCCGCCTGGAGCAACGCCCTACGCCCCACGACCCACGACCCACGTTACACGTCCCCCTAGACACCCAACCCGCCGTCACGTAGCTGGTCACGCTTGACAAACTTTACATAATTGCTTGGGCCGAAACAAAAGCAATTTGCATAGCTTATAAACGGGTTACGAATTACTATGGGCTGTCTGTGTTTACTGGTGTGTGTATGTGTGTGTGTGTGTGTGTGTGTTTGTCTGTGTGTATTGGTGTGTGTTTTATAAACACTCCTTTGAGTGCTTTTGCCAACAAAAATTAAATCAGTTAGAACCGATGTTGTTGTTGTTGCTGTTGTTGTTGTTGTTGTTGCTGTTGTCATTTGGGCCACAAGGCGCGCTTGAAATTAATTGTTAAGCATATACGCAAAAATAATGATAATAGCAATGAAAATAATAACAATTATAATAATGGAAAAAGCATCGGCTTGGCAACGCCATTAACTAAGCCCTGCGCCTCATTGTCGTCCATACTAAGGACGAAAATAATGATCATTATATTGTTAATGATGAGAGTGATGCATGACATTAGTAATACCAATATTAATGCTAAGCGTAATAATAATATTTATGCCAGCAGTAATGATAATAATAATGATCGGATATTGAACAATAATAATGAATAATGATAATGATAAGAAAGTATTGATAAATATAATACGAGAGCATCGATAGCAATGCTGTTTGTAATGAAAATGAGAAATAGCAATAAATATTTAAATAATATTGCTAAAAAACTAAACCTCATAATGATACCAATGATAATTAATAAAAGGCTAGTCATAGCAATGCTGTTTCTATTGAAAATTGGAAATTATATCAATAGTAATGCTCATAATATAATATTACTAATGAACTAAACCTCATAGTGATGCCAATGATAAGGACAATGAATAAAAGGCTAATGATAATGATGAAATTGCCAGTAATCATAGCTGATGTGTTAATAATAATAAATAAAATCTTAATGGTAATAGTAATAAAGTAATGATTATAATGATACTAATGATCATAAGCAGCTATGATTTATTTTAAATTTATTTTATTTTAGTATAATAGTAATAATAATGGTAATGTTAATAGAACTGATAGTACTAATGATGCCAATGACAATAATAACAATTAATAATGACAAAGGCAATGCCTATGGTAATGACAATGAGTTGCTAATATTGTGCAATGAGCAATGACTCACCTCGCGCAGTTCACTGTCCTCGGCCAGCAGATCCACCTTATTGCCAACGACCACAATTGGCACCGCTGTGGTTGCCTTTGTCTCATGTATTTGATCTCGTATGGCCCGCACCTCCTCGAATGTGGACGCATCGGTGACATCGTAGACCAGGATGAAAGCGTCTGCCGACGATATGGATAGGGCGCGCATTGCTGGGAACTGCCAAAAGCGAAAATGCGGGCATTACAATTTTTACCAAAACGCCCATTGACATTTGATAGATAAAAGGCACAAAGAAGAGCGGCCAGAAAGAGCAGAGAGAAAGAAAGAGAGAGAGAGAGAGAGACAGCGGGAGACATGCTGAGTGAGTGGGAAAAGTGTTGAACAAGCGGCTTAAATTACACATAAAATGCTGTTAAAAATTTGCATATTATTATTGTATTTGCATACATGCACACACACACACACACACACACATACAGACACAGACACAAACAGGTCTTTGCGCACATTTATGCACATATTTTAATAATGACAGATAATAATGTAAATTTTGTTAAGCGTTTCGAGGCAAGCACTAAAGGCCCTACTTCACTTTCGCCCCCGCTTTTTCTCATTAAATGTTTGTCAAGTTGCAAAATAAACTTGAACATTTTCCCATTGACTTTTTGTGTTGTGTGTGTGTGTGTACTTTATTATGTCATACACCAAAGGCAACACAGGCAGTTTTTCTAAAACGCTGTTTTAGCATATCAAAAGTTGACTTTTGAATAAATACATTTTCTAAATTTATATAGCAAATTTGAATTAAATTTTTTTTTTTAGTTTATTTAACTTTTCACTGTGTTTAAAAATGACTTTATTACCTCGTTCTCTGTTTATTTCAATCAAACAGAGCGCAAATAGAAACATGCGTCATTTGTGGTATTTAAAAAAGTTTCGTATTTGAGAGCCCCATACACACACACGCACACACACACACCTGACCTGTAACTGAATTTCAGAATGGCAAATGGTCAAAGCGAGTGCAACGTAGGCCACACAAATTGTGAATTATGCCTTAAATCTTTCAGCAGCAGCAGCAGCAGCAGCAGCAGCAGCAGCAGCACGAGCTGAAACAATGGCCGGGCCAATGTGTCCGCCGGGAGACGGAACGCATGCACCGTACAGGACTCAATTAAGCAAATTTTTACCAGCAAAAAAAAAAAAAAAAAGAAGATATACACATGCGTTTGTGTTTGAATAAGCTGCATGGGCGACTGCTTAATACTCGTTCAGCAAAGGCAAATTCATGTGAATATGGTGTGCATGTATATAGATCTATACTACTGTGTACTGAATATGAATAGGAATCTTAGCCTTAAAATTGTGATAGATACACATACATACATACATATGTATATGTAGCAAGCTCAAGGGTTGTTGAATATAATCTATAGATTAACTCAGCTTTCAAGCTGTAGACTCTTTAGAAATTGAGGTATGTCCAGATTTGTCACGCCTCCAAATGATATAGCTTATCTCTTTTTGTTATTTCTTTTCGATTTATTCCTTCACATTTCAACATCTAACTGTTCGACGAACCTAACATAAAACTAATATGCTCTTGTCACTACATAAACGAGTATAAGCTGCAGAGCAAGATCTATAGTCAACATTAGTATGAAAATAATATACTTTTTGTAAAGGGAGTGTGTGTGAGAGAGAGAGAGAGAGAAAGAGAGACAGCGAGCGAGAGAGAGACCTAGAATCTGGTTTGAGATAAAACATAAAAGTGTTTCAGTGTTGCAAAACAATGGCATGTGTAGTGTTAAGAGTATAAATTATAGCAAGAGAATATGCATTAAACATAGATATGTAGTACCTACATAGGTAGGTACTCTCCTGCTGTCATGTACACTCGCAATACTGCACATGTCATTGTTTTGCAACACTGAAACACCTACCTATGTAGTACTGAAAATAACTAATACAAACATGTATAAATGTACCATAAATAGAGTTTTGCAGAACAGCAACGCATCCTATGCGACTACTCTATTTCCGATAGTATTGTTAGTCACACTGATTATATTCATTAGAATATAATCTGTGAAGAGAGGGGAGTCATGATTAAGCAGAAGTTTAGAGCACATAAAGCTATCTTCAATGTATTTAATCGATTCAATCGAATCGAAGGAGCAGACAAAATCATAGCGCCTACTGAGAGTTTGGTGTTGGAAACCATGCAAAAGTTTTAATAAGTTATTCAACACTCTTTTCTGATACTTGAAATAAAGCTGTACTCAATTTATTAGAAAGATGCTAAAAGGTTTAGAGTTTGCATAGGTAAATATGTACATATTAAAACACACATATAAGAATATATATAAATCTACATATAAATATATTTAAAGTCACTGCATGGCGCAACAAATTGATTAAGTAAATGAAAGAGGGGAAACGAGCAGCGCAAATGAAATGAATTAGAGAGACAGACTTTCGAGATGGAGCTGACATTAATGCAAGAGATGTACATACATACATATATTGTTGTAATGGCTGTCTGGGTGCCTTGCTCTAGCTGTCTTCATCACACACACTCATTCTCTCCCTTACTAGCTCTCTCACTCTCTCTCTCTCTCTGTCTCTCTTTCTATAATGTGTGACAGGGAACATGTTTGGCTGTCTGCTGGCCACAACCGCAACATTTTGGCTACGATCTGGTGTCTGTTGCTGTTTGCCGTTCCATCTAACACTAATGGGCGCCCAAGCCATGCGGCCCAGCCACAGCCAGTCACAGCAACAGTCACAGCCACAGTCACAGTCGCAGTCAGAGTCACAGTCATTATGGGAGTCACGTTGAGAGAGCAGGCAACAGGCCCAGGCTCAAGGCAAATGCTATCTATATATGTACAGCTGTGCGTCAGCAGCCGCTGCAGCTGCTGCTGCTCTGCTGGCTAATAGAAAGGCTGGCATCGAACAACAACAGCAAAAAATGTATGTATAAATTGGAATGAAAGGAATGAAAAGAGCTAGCAACAATGGCTGTGGCTCACATCAGGCCACGGGCAGAACAAGGCACAGGTGCATATGCTGCGCCTGCTGTTGCGCCTGTTGCCGCTGCTGCCGCTGCTGCTGTTGCTCCATTCTGCGGTCCTTGGACAAACTTTGCCCTTGCCCTCGGCCAGCTTATAGAGAGTGCATCATGTTGCCGATATATGGTTTCCAAAGTTCATGATTCACAAAAGTTCCATTTTTTCAGCCACTAATGGGAAAGCTCAGCGTTTGTAATTTTAGAATACATTGTATAATCTAAAAAGAGCTATTCTTTATAGCTTCCATTTAATAATTGAACTAAGACTAGAACTGCAGCTAGTCGAACCTAAAGATTTAGCAGTATTCTAGCTATACTCTAATTGTGCCTAAACTGAATAAGTACGTTCAGGCGATTTGCTTAAAGAGTGCGTTTATTAATATACGAGGATTGTTAAAAAATTATTGCGAATGTCAAGTTTCTGTGGTCTACGCATACAAGGTTGCCCATATTCCAAAGACCCACAAATGTTTTTTTTTCTCTTAATCAAAGAAAAACACAATTTGTGTTGTTAATAAGATATCTCTTAAAGGGCCGCCTTAAGCCTATACGTCTCTATCAAAATATATAGGGTTGGCAGATGGGTGCATCGAATATGGACAGCCCTGTATTCGATAGTTAGTTTTCGGCGCTATGTTGGCACTCCATACTCTAATTTATGAGCACAAGCTTGGCCCTATTGACAGCTAATTCATTGGGATTATCTTGGCTCGTCTTTGATTTTTGCCTATTTAAAGAATCTGTGTTAAATATTAAGTCAGAAGCATTAGCCCACAGCATTTCCTAGGCTTGGCTCTCAGTGACTTTTTCTAGCTCCTGAAACTAAAAGAATTTTTCTAGGGTACGCTTTGTGACGATTGAGGAAATAGAGAAATGAAGAAAAAACTGAACAATATGAGATAATACGCATATCTTCCAGCAATATTGACGATGTTGAGAGGAGCTTGCGACCAGCGAGAATAGAGGTATATGAACAAGGAGCAAGGCCTATGGACATGCGTATAGAAATTTTTGATAATGAATAGATAAGAACAAGAATTTTTGATAAAAGGCATCGCACTTGAGCAGTTCAGCAACAAATGTTGTATCCCTTGGAGTGAAGCAGAAACTGTTGCCTCTCATACATTTTCACTAGATCATCGAACTTCCCCTTTAAGTATCTCTCCAGACTTAAACAGCAGTTTGAGCTAAAACGAATTTTGCTGAAATCGTCGCTCCAAAGAGCGATGGCTATACAAAAACCATTTATCATGTTTATGCTTGAATTATTTTCCATTTACCTTCTTAAATAGATCATGAGAGATGTCCACATGTCCATGTTTGAGCATCTCAATAAATTGCTTTATATATAATAAAAAATGGCATTGAATTTATTTAAGCCAAATTTTTGTGCTGTTTGTGCAATATGATAGAAACTATTGTATGATACCCTGTAAAGCGTCACATTTCACATGCAAAGTTCAAGTAAAAGTTCCCAACTCAGCTCTTTTTTGGCTGAGCATATAAAGGGCATCTTCTAGTCGAGCATTTGTTAGTTTAGCATATTTATTTATTTTTGTTGTTGCTGCAGCTGGCATTGTTATGATTGCATATTATTGCATTGGAAATGAATGCATATGGCAGAGGAACAGCAGGAGCCGCAGCCGCAGGAGACGCAGCAGGAGCTGCTTCGGCATCACAGGATGTGACAGCAGCGATAGGTTAGCCAAGCGCCCAGCCAGAAGCTGGCTATGAGCGACCCTTTTTTATGCACACTCAACCAGGACGGTTGGCATGCTGTCAGCTGGCAGTTGGCAGTTGGCAGGTGGCAGGTGGCAGGTGGCAGGTGGCAGGTGGCAGACGGCTGCCAAAAGCTATCCTGCTCAATGTTATCACTCTACATCTCACTGGCTCTCTCTCTCTCTCTCTGTCTCTCTCTCTCTCTCGCCCCTTAGCCCTCTCTCTAGCACTCTCCGCTGCGGTTTCCGCTCGTTACACATTTCACAGACAGCTTGGCAAGCCAAGGACAACGACTGCCAGGATGAGCTTGGCTTCGCACTGTGCATGTGTTTTGCTCTCTGATTTCTCAATGGACTCGAAATTGTTGCCACTTGTCCTGCTGATTGTCTATGTGTGCCACACTTCACTTTCCCCCACTTTATTTTACTATTTTAGTTTTTTTTTTTTTTTTTTTGGCAGCAGCTGCAATCGTAAGTTTTGTTTTCGACTGCAATTGTCTTTTGGGTTAGCCCCGGGCTCCAGCATACACGCTTATTGGCCCTGAAAAGTTGGGAGCTTTTGCTATAGAATTTGATTAGCGCCAGCTAACTAATTTAATCAACGACCGTAAACAACTACAACTGAAGCATGTTACACAAAAAAAAAAAAAAAGAAAAAAAAAGAAAGAAAGAAAACCTGGCGAACTTTTGAAATCAAGTTAGAAACGACATAGAGAACAGTTTTTAATTGCATTAAACACCAAGCAACAGTTGACAGCCAAAGGTGTGCATGTGTGTGTGTTAGTGTGTGTGGGGGTATTTTTTCTAGTTTCCTGGAAGCTATTGAAAGTACGGCAGCTGTGTGGGGGTGCAGGTMGATCGGGCATTTTATAAGGTATGTATGTATGTATATATATTCCTGATAAGGATCTGTCTCTCTGTACGTTTCTTTGAAATGCAAATGATATAACAGGGCTTGACAGTCGAAGTTACAATTATTTAAAAGGTTTTAAATTGGTTCTACATTTAATTTTTGTTAAGTCATAAAATGCTTGAAAAAGTACAAAATTTGAGAATCAGTTCACATTAGTTCATTGCAGTCTGCATATTTTGATCCATTTATGGCTAATGGCTTTCGTTAGAGTTTCGAGCCTGGTGTAGTTCTCTTTGCTGTAGCTTTTAGCTCGTAGCTCTGTCTCTCTCGTCTAGAGAGAATAATTCATGGGGTTTGTCATTGTGTGGGTGAATTAAGCGTTTTTTGCTGCCATTTTTAATTTAGGTGCGCTCTGTGAGACGGTGCAGAGTCTTGCTGATGTGTTAATTAGTTGGAAATGCTAATTAGCTACAAATGCTAGTCGAGCCAAAGTTTCAGAGCAGTCTTTAGTACACATCTTCATAACATAGAAAATTAGGTAGCTCACACAGCTCAAGTTGGTCTTATATCATTTAAAGTATATTTCCTATTACTAAAGTCATTATATATTCTTGATTCTGTTTAATATAATTTTCTACTACATATTCCTGAATATTTTAATTTTTTAATTTTTATATTATCTGCTTTTATATATGAATATCTTTTATTGTCTGCATTTAAAACTGCAGCTCAGCATAAACGTTAGGGTATCTCTTAGTCGACCAGCTAATGTTTTATTTTTAATAAATTGAAATCGAAGAAATTGTTAAGCAACATACTTAAATTAATTATATTCTTTATATGGTTTCACACGCAAAAATTAATTCGAAGTCTTAAAATATATTTTCTTAAAATAAAACTCATTCGACAATTTATATCCGCAGCCTCATTTGCTCTTGATGACTGAAACACTTCAATAGCTCAGCCATCAAGTGCTGCTAATTACAAAAAAAAAAAAAGTTTCCCAAACAGCATTTAATTTAAATGATTTTCTATTTAATATTTGAGTTTCGGAGAATTTCATTTACACCCCAAAACTGTGGTAGACCTCATAAAGGACTGATTGCCATAAGCTGTTTGTTTTGCTTGGATTAAATCGTGCTTAAATATTTATATGCATTTGTAATCAATTTACAGTTATTTATTTAATTAAAATTTGTTTTGCTTCATATATCTCGATTTAAGCACAGATTTCACAGAATTGTTTTTTGTTGCTTAAATGTTATTTAACAATGCATGAATTCAAAGATCTGCATAATAGTTATGTTCAATTTATTTTATTTATGGGAAAAGCCTAAAGAAATGTTCAACAAAGCCTTATCTATTTCTGTTTATAAACCATTTTATATGCATTCAAATCTCTGATTGTTAGCTAGGGGGGATGATAGCTTATTATAGTTTACATGTTATAGGGTGAATAGCTGCGCAGCGTGCAGGGTATTTGCTGGTTGGGCACACCCGGTTAGTTACTATATAAAATATGCCTTTCATTGATTTTTATTCATTGTTTTTCATTTTTATTATTTTTCAAATGTAAGCATTTATCAATAGCTATTGAATGTGGAATTCGTAGTCGAATTTAAATTGAAATTGTCAAATTTTAAAGCTGTAGACTAAACCTACCCTATATCTACATCAATGTATACAGCAGCAGTCTATTATAATTAATAATTACGTTTGCATTTCTTAAATGATGAATTTCTGTTTCATTAATATGAAAGTGCTGCAAAGCTCTGGGGCTATAGTAAATCGATTGGCTTAAAAAAATATGAAAATTGTACAAAAAAATATTACAAAAATTTTGTATGCACATATAATAATTGAATTGGGGTATATATAAGCTGCAATAAATATAATAAAAACAAGTAAGAAAGCTCCAGTCGAGACTGCTCGACTAGGAGATACCCTGAACCCTCCAAGCTAATATTCTAATCATTCTGGACTTCTTTTATGCTCACATACATACACATGCATACACATGCACTTATAAGCACGCGCTCTGCTGACTGCGCAGTTAGCAGCGGCTGCGCTTGGGCTGCGCTGCAATGTGAGGAATATTATGAGAATTTATTTCTTGAATAATTTNTTCGAATATTAACTAAATGTAAATTAATTAATTAATTTAAATGAGAATTAATTTAGATACTCGACGGAAGGGTTTCTCCCGCCAAGAATATGCAACGTAAGTGTTAAATTTAGATATTTAATTAATATGTATACATATATATAATATATGGATACATTTTACATATTTTGTCTTCCAACAGCGGTTTCTGCTGCCAGTGCTACTAGCGCTGCTGCGGCTCCATCTATTGCAGGAGCAGACTCCGAACCACCAGAACGTACTCTACCGCGTCGGCGGGTAAGTTTTCCTTTTTATGTCAATGCGCCAGCTACCACTGATTCTTATTGCAGGGACGTCCACGTAAAAGTCAGTTGAACTCGGTGGTTATGGGAGAAGACAGTGTCAATAACACGAATGTCACAATAAAAGTAATGCTGCGTTCTATAAAGCAACACAAGAAGCTTGTTGCCACTGTCAATAATGGCTTTGCACGCGGTCTCAAGCCAGAAATTATCTTAGCCGCATTTCCCTACGAAAATGATCTTATGTTTGCTGTAAAATTTAAGAATCGTAAGCTGCCAGAATTGATAACTGCCCAGCAGTTGAAGGTGCTTGACAAAAGTCTGCTAATTCAATATTACGTAACCAATCTACGTTATCCACATAATGAGAAGCCGACTAACAGTTGAAAATGGGTTCAGGGTATAAAAAGACATAAAATAATGCAATATGTATACTCATAAAAACACGTTAGCTATAAAATAAATTATTTATTTAAAAACATTTTCAGAGTTAATAAAATATATAAATTAACTAACAAAATACAACAAAATAAAAAGAAAATATTATTCAACATAATTCGATGTAAAACCCAAATCAACAGCTCAGATGTAAGCAAACAGTGAGGCACACAAGTATGCATATATACGCGGTAAAATAAAACTGAAAAGAGAGAAGCAAAAAATCGCTCCACTCCATTTGGCATTTCCAATTTGTGCTACAAAATTAATATTTACATTGCTGAAGCTCATAAAAAAAATCGACGAGATGTGATTGATGGTGACATTCACTTGAGATACAACATAAATAACGTTAATTAGTATCAACTCTACGAGCACGCCTCGCTGCATTATTAATCTCTTTAACAAAAGCTCTTATAACTTTTAATGAAATTCGTTTTCATTGTGTATTCAAAGTGTTAAGCCCTTCATTTAAATAGAGCTAGAGCCCCTTGGGGTTGAAGGACTTATAGTTATCGATAGCAATTAGTAAGGTATCGATAGCATAAATAATTCAGCTGAGTGAAGCTCTTATGAAGCTGCTCTCTAGGGCATTTCACTGTCGGTTTCTATGTTTTTTTTTCTCTCTCTTTTTTAATTCATTTTTTGTTTTTTGTTTTTTTTTGCTTTTGTTTGCTCTCGCTTTGTTTGCAACAATAATAAATAGTGTTTGTGGCGGTCTATTAATTGAATTCTGTTGCGTGGGCACTCATGGCGTGCTTTTCATAAAACATCCTGCGTATGTTATCTCAGTTCGCCTCGGCTTGCAAAAGAAATAACTCATACGCACCGTGCGCCACGTTGCAACAGTTTTTGTTTTTTGTTCTTTCGCACAATGACTGCCAGCATTTGTGCTAAGCCAGTGAAAGCTATGGGCACTAACCTGCCTGCCACGCCCACACACACACACACACACAGGCACAGTCACTGCTCATGTGAGGCAGCTTCCAGCAGATGCAATGGCTGGCGTTGCGATAAGCGTGCAGCCAGTGCTAGCAGCTGATTATCTATGTGTGTGTTTGTGTGTATGTGTTAGTGTGTGTGTGTGTGTGTGTGTGTGTGTGTGTGTGTTGTTGCGGTTTTGTTTGCTAAATGTCACCGCAGAATGCAGTTTATTGCGGCTACTTGGCTGAAAATGATTGCGCATACGCGCTGTGCGCCCGCACGCATACGTAATGCACAAACATCAAATACTCGAATTTATGAGAATAACGAACTGAGCTTTGTTCAAATTGCTCAGCCTCGGATTGTTAACCGCAAATGCGATAACTTCTGCACACCCATTAGGCTGCATACAAACGAAGCGGTTGGATTTCAATTAATTTCTGTCACCGGCTGTCAGAGAAAACAATGAGTACAGCAAATAGCTAACAGAATATTTCTTTGACAATTTGTTTAAATAAATTGGATTGCAATTGAATTCTGCACTGCATTTCCCGGACGTTCCCTGTGGCATTAACCCATTTTAATTGCTTGTCGGGAAGTATTTTCGATTATTTTTGCAGTTTTTCTTTTATTTAGCATAGCCTCTTATAAACAGTGAGTGTATTTTTTATTCAAATATATTTTTAATTAATTTCCCTACATTTTCAATTTTTTTTTTTTGCTTGTATTATCTATGTGTGTAAATTAATTTACTGAAGAAAGCTCTCAATAGTGTGCTCAAAAGTGCTCGAATGGTAGCTACCCTGAGTCATTGAGCACTGTTCATATAGCATATGTATATGTATTAGTAACAACACATGCACACATACACACGCACCTATAGGGTGCAAATGTTTTCATGAGTTCTATCAGGGGATATTCAGTGTCGAATCGCTTCTGTTCTAGCTGGACAAGTCGATATACGATACAGCTTTAAGGGGAGGAGGGTAGGTGCTCAAAATCTATAATGCTCACATTTAACCCATTGACCCACATAATACAATTGCCATAGACCTATTTCTAGTAACAAGAAGTGCTCAAGCAGCTTCAAACTTCTCTCGATTTCTGTTCAATTCATGATTCCTAAATTCAAATTCAATATATGCTATTGACACTATGCCAWTCCATGTGATTGACGACCTTAATCAACTCATCTCAGCTTTATGTTTAATTAATAAACAAATTAATTATTGATATTGTGGCTGTGTGTAAAAATACATCACTGTAATAAGAAATATAAATTTTTACGAGAATGCCGTGATATGATATATGATTTATTTGATGGTGTTCTAGTTATGGGCACTTCAATCTCATCATTCGACCCGAACAAAGGGCAATTCTTGTTTTACTAGTGCCCGATGCCAGCTGAAATCAGTTTGCCCTTAGCCCAGTCCCAGGGCAGTTTGTAAATTATTAGCCACTCGCAGAGGTCTAACCCGACACATATGTACATGATGAGTGTGTGTGTGTAAATATGCGACAACACACACAGACACACACATGCACACACACACACACACACACACACACACACATATCTGGGGTAGTTGGCACTATGCGATTTGTGTGGCGCTCGTCGTCGAGTGTCTGGGCCCTCGGGAATATTCAACACATCATAAAATTTATGAGCGCTGCGTAAATGTGTTAAAATTTTATGCGAGTTTCCGCTGATGTTGTTATTGTTGTTGTGGTTGTTTTTAGTCGAGCTGCAGTCCAAGGCAAAAATATTTCAAGCGGCGAGAGTGATCAACGTAATGATACCCTGCGGAGGTACTAAGCTCAAGATATGTAATTCATGTTGCAGAGGAAATTGACTAAGCCAATATGTACTTAATCGACATTGGTTGGAATTGGTATTAGCATTGGATTTAGTCTGGCATTGGCCTTGGCATTGGTATTTGTATCGCTATAGATATTATTATTCGCGTTATGATTAGCGTTAGTATAAGTATTAATTGGTATTAGAATTAGTATTAGCATTGGTATTGCCAATGGCATTAGCATTAGCATTAGCATAAACCATTAGCTTTAAATTTAGCATTGGCATTGAGAATTAGTATGAGCATTAGTACTAGAGTTAGCATTAGCATTAGCATTAGCGTATGCATATGCATTAGCTTTAGCTTTAGCATTATAATTAGCATATGCATTAGCATTAGCATTAGCATTAGCATTAGCATTAGCATTACCATTAGCATTAGCATATGCATTAGCATTAGCATTAGCATTATAATTAGCATTAGCATTAGCATTAGCATTACCATTAGCATTAGCATATGCATTAGCATTAGCATTAGCATTATAATTAGCATTAGCATTAGCATTAGCATTAGCATTAGCATATGCATTAACATTAGCATTAGCATTAGCATTAGCATATGCATTAGCATTAGCATTAGCAATATTACCATTAATACTAGTGTTAGCATTAGCATTGGCAGTGGTATTAGCATTAGAATTAGCATTGACATCATACTATTAGTAGTGTTTTAGTGTCTTAGTATTGATGGATATTATATTGGTATATGAAATCTGTTCGCTATATCATATATCCTAAGATACCATGACTTAACTCTTAGGCTTTTGCTGGTCAAAATATATGTTATTTTTACTCTCTCTCTCTCTCTCTCTCTCTCTCTCTCTCTCTCCTATATAACATATATTCTCTCTCTCTCTCTCTCTCTAAATTGAACACAAATTTTAGTTAAAAATTCTCTCTCTCTCTCTCTCTAGCACCTTACGGAACAGTCGGTCGTAGCTGGGCCAAGGGTATATTAACTCCGTCTCGTTATTCCCGCTACGCCATTCACACTGCATGAATTATAAAATTTATCTACGCACATGTGGTCTAGACATTTCTTCCCCGTAAAATATGCATAAAATTCAACAAATATGTGCAGTCTGAAGCTAGAGCTGGTTTTACTATTGTTACAAGAGCTTCACATCTTAGTGGTTAGAATAATGAAAATTCAAATTAATTACATGCAGTTATAAATTGAGTTAAGCGCCAATTATGCGGCTGTTGACTTTGACAAGTGCTTGGGCAGCACACTAGGTATACAATTATTAACCTAAGCTCGCATTATAAATATTAAATTCCACAATTCGTATTGTTGTCTAATAACAAATTGAGCAGAGCTTCAGGTGAGAGACCAGAACCGGCGACAGTTACCTGAGACCTGCTCAATGGGCTTGAGCTGCTTGTCAATTCTGATTTCAGGTGCGGTTATTAGGCTCGGCTTTCGACACTCGAGCAGCTGCATAATTGATGCGACTGCCATAGATGAGATATACGTGTGTATGTGTGTGGTGTCTATATGTATTTATATTTATTTATGCTACATTTATATAAATGGTGGGAATTAGCTTGGCCGGAGACAAGCTTCAGTTCGATGTAAGGGCAACTTGTCAAATGGCATCGTGGGTGGCTACAAGCGCGTACAACTATTTGCTGCTCAAATAGACACACGCGGAGCGAAAGAGACGGATAGATAGTGGGCGAAGGAGACAGCGAGGGAGACATACACACATGCAACATGTACTTGCGACTTGTTACTTGTAACATTCTTTTGGCGTCTACCGCCCGTCGAGTCGGGGAAATTGCGACGGCACTCGTGAGGCAACAGTTGCCACAGTCAAATATATGTATGTGCATAAGGGCTTGCAACAACTCGATATTATATATATACATATATAGAGAATCACTAACATGCTTCATATATATGTACATATATTGTATATTGCATATATTATATGCTACCATTCATACACATTAAGTCTCCTTCTCTCCTCCTCTCTGTCTGAAGTTGTAAATGCAAAATGCTTTTCATTTTGTTTTGTTATGGATTTCTAAAGCTTCCACTTTTCCATTTCCACTTGTTTTCCATTAARAAAAAAAAAAAAAAAAAGAAAGAAAACTATTCAAAAAGCTGTGTAAAATATTAAAAAAAAAAAATGGCAGAAAATAAGCTAAACTTTGTTTGTTGGGGAATAAAAAAAAAAAGCTTGCTTTCTTTCTTTTCTTTTTTGTGTTTCTCGTCTTTCAGAAATCTTATGAGACTACACACAGGCCAACAGAATGCGCTGACATTTAGTCAGCAGCAGTTTGATCATAGTTTTCCCCAAAGGGAACTCAAACTAAAGCAGCCTTTATAAACTTTAAAGTACCAGCAATACTTTCTAGACCTCGACAAGACCTGAACTTGAAATATTCTTTGAGCAATGAAGTCGCAGTCGAAGAAGCTGGGAGAAACTTAGAGCTGAGTGTGTGCGTGGCAGCTGGTGAGCAAATTGAATAGATGTTCATTCGATAAGAAGAAGATAAACATTTTTCCGCTTAAAAGAGTTTGGAAAGAAAATATTACTTTGAGTAATGTTTGGCTTGATGGGATGGAACGTCAAAATATTTCTAGATTTATGTTTATTTCAAAATGTTATAGATTCGCTAGTGAAATTGAAGTGAAATTCAGTTTGAATAGAAGCTTGAATATGAAAGACAGAACTTGAAATCGAAAACTCTAGTTTCAGTTTCAGATTAAAAACATTCAAGATCTTTGATAAACGAGTTCTTTTCTTCACTGCGTATCTTATTTAATAAGATATAAGACTAGCTATTTTAATATGTTTATTAAACAGTTGGTTGATTGAATCTCAAATTGGGCTGCAAACTGTTTATCCTTATCCTACATCAGGCATGCTCGAGTATAGCATATTTGCATCATTATATAACTATACTTATTTAATATGCTCCATGGCATAAGATCTAAATGTTTTTCTTACTATAAATGCACTCAAGTCATATTTGTATTTGTCTCCAGGCACATTTCTAATGCTCTCAGCACGATGAGCCTTGTCAATGCTGTAGAGCATTGCGTCAAGCTATTTGAAGAACTGTTGTTTAATCAAAGGCTGGCATAGCAATAGCCTGGCAATAGCATTCAGCTGGCAGATGATGCAGCTACATATAGTTTATTGATGCAACGACTGCATGGCTGTGAAATAACTTAAGCTGATGATAAAACATATTAGAGCAGTTGCCATAGCCAGGGCAAATGCATCAAGGACACCAGCTGAGAGCTGCGAGAGCTGAGCTGAGTTGAGCATCCTTTTGGTGCAGTCACAGTTGACTTGCTTTGCACTCGATGGATGTCTAAAGTGAGTATGTGTGTGTGCGTGTGTGTGTGTGTGCGTGTGTGTGTGTGTGTGTGAGCGTGTACTCATTCATATTTCTTTTCATTTGGCACCTGCTGTCGCCGTTTGTTACTTGCCATTCAGTTTTATGAACAAGCATTTCAATTCGCGTTTAGCGGAAGTGGCAGCGAAATTGAATCGCAGGCTGTAATTTCCGCTGCACACAAAAGCTGAAGAAGCTGCGAGCAGAGCTCGCGTGGAAGAGGCGAATACATTGGACACAATGAACGGCGACGGCGACGGCGATGCCCAAGCAGTGTGCTGAATTATTAAAAAAAAAAAAAAATATTTACTAAGTATGCCAATAATTTTGTTC